TCTCTCTCTCTCTCTCTCTCTCTATATATATATATATATATATATATATATATATATATACACACACATACACATGTTTTTGTTTTTGTTTTTTTGTTTTTTTACAATAACTAATGTATCTTTCATTTTGATTTAAAATGTAGATGGACTTTCCACATTGACAATGTCCTCTGGGAGCAGTGACGGAGCCACAAGACTCATTCCTGACGAATCTGAAGAATTAGGTGCCAAGACAGTTCACGCTAACCGCAAACCCCAAATAAAGGATGACTGCCAAACTCCAGTCACCAACATTGATGATATCATCTCACAAATTAGCCCCGTCAGTAACCCTGCATGTCCCCCGTGCAGCACCTCTTCTCTTGGAAATACTTCTGAGAAAGATGATTTAGAAGTTCAAATACTGTCAAGTTCACAGTACTCCTCGGCAGTGCACCCAGGAAATGAAAAGGGGTGTCCTTTACATGTGAACCCACTTCTTGAAAACAACTCGAATGGGTTATTCCCCGAAAAGTGGATCGCTCTGCACAAAGGGAAAGACCCCAAAGAACTTCATGATAGTGATTCCAGTGGTGACTTAAAGTCACCACTGGACATTGCTGTCACGTGTAAAGTCAGTGACTTTACACGCGACAGCGATGTCAAGCCCAGCAAAATGGCCAGTGGCAGTTTCCATCTTCATGAGCCATCCTCAAAGGGGAAGAAAGTGGAACTCAATTCCTCTGACAACCAAGCATCCATTGATGATGGACATGTACACCTCAAGACACTGTCAAATAGATCTTTACCTTCACATCATGCCGGTGAAAACAAAAGCCTGGACAGGAATAACGATATGTTTGTCAGCTCCTCAGATCTGACTAAGGAAGAATGCTTGACGCATTCCCCATCAATAGGGGTCGCAGCCACAAGGACAGCACCCTCACCTTCATATGTAACTCCTGCATCACCTTTGGACGATCACACTACAGCCATTGAGTCTGACTCTGACAAACTTCGAGCTTCTGAGGCGCATCATCCCACAAGCCTTTGTATTCATGGAAGCATTTCCCCACTTGATAACTGTATCGACTCCAGTATCCCTGCAATGTTGTCTGGTGGCACCCTGCTCAACTCCGATATATTGAAACGGAGACATTTGAAAGCACAAAAATCTGAATTGACACCAGTGACAAACACTGACAGTGCGACCACTGACAGATCAGATACAGCATTGTCGAAGACTCTGACCAACGAAGAAAAAAACTTGGAGTGTTGCCCACATTTAATCACAAACCTGAGCCCCACTATTACGCATCGTCTTCTAAACTTCCCAGACAAATGTCAAATCGAAACTCAGATCAGATCAGACTATACCCTTAAACAGAAGGGCCGAAGAGTAAATAGTAATAATGCTGGAGAAGTGCCATTGCAAAGTCATACCAAGAGTGAAAGTCCGGTCCTTTCATCGACCAATGATATCTTCTTTAACCAGCCTACAAATTTACTCTCAGAGAAAACATTATCTCCCACTTTGAAGGCCAACAACCCACTTAATAAGAACAGTGCTGTTTTATCCACAGTTGCCGTCAGAAAGATGGCACCTGATATCCCAGATAACACATTTGAAACTGTAGCGTCCAACAACAAAGATATCAATATAGATGTCAAAGCAATTTCAAATTCCCAGACACTGTCACACTCACCTGCCACTCAGAGAACATTTATCGAAGTTCAGTTATCCTCTGCATCTAGTGTGTCACCTTTCAGGGCAAAAAAGCTCACAGTAGATTCAAATAACTCTACAGCAACTCAAATCAACACCGATGCAACACCCGTGCTCCCAAATTCAAATTCCACATTAGATACAACAAATGTCATTGTTGATCAAATAGTATTCGATGCAATGTCTTGTACCAAGGAAACTAATCTAGGATCAAGAAATGACTTGAAACCCGACACGGAGACGAGTGATAAGTCGACAACATCCAAACTGTCCAAGAAGACCACACTGAAGCCAAGCTTTGTCGCAAACGCTCCTTTTTCTGTGCACTACAACCCCTTCTCTGTCCAACACAAGATAAAGTCATTTGAAAACCTGGCTCACTTTGACAAGCCTGTGGCGAAAAGTAGTGACATTCAGTCATATGCTTTGGCAAACAGGGCCTCGCTTAACCAAAGGATTGCGGGTTACATGGGCTTAATTAAATGTTCTGCTCACCGGGCACAACACCATCGTTTCAGTTCCTATGAAGACAATTTAATCTCAACGAGACCCTACTCATCACTCAAATCACAGTCAAGCATGACTTTGAAAAACCTCGATCCTCCACGTGAGAGCTCCATTGCAGGTTGCCTGTCCAAGAACAATTTTGTCTCCAAATTTGCAAAAGGTCCCGATCCTTCACCAGAAACCCCGCCAGTGGTGCGGAGGAAAAATGCCAAACTTTTCCACAACCGGTTGCGGCAATCAAGGGCTCTCAGTATGCCTGAATTGGGAAAGCTCTTCACAGGTGACATGTTGACCAGGATGCATGGTTTCGCTGATAAACCCGAGCGCACCATCCTTTCCACTGCCACAGAGACTTTGCGCACTTCACCTTCTGCACTCCAAGCAAAAGCAGAGGAAGCAAAAGGAAACCGAAGAAACACTGTATCCACTCAAGAAACATCCGAGAGAAAATTTGAGATCCTTGAACCATCTGCACAGTGTGAAGCACCTCGGCCTATCAGGTAGTTCAGTTAAATTGTTTAAAACGGTCCCTTTTATGCTCTTGATTGCTTTATCACTGTATGTGTGTGAGTGCGCGTATTTGTCTGTCTGTGTTTAAAAATATGAAGAAAATTGGTCTGGTAGTTGATTACAAAATAGTCAACAATAGTAAACAAAAATCTCGTGGCATGCAGTGCACGCTATGTAGATAAAACAGACAGTATTGGGACGGCTGGCCAGTAGAGATACAGGAATTCAAAACAATCAAATAGAGTTGCTCTATTTATATATCTTAGCAGCTATAACAGCATCGATTTTCCTGGGAAGACTTTTGACAAGATTTTGAGATGTATCCTTCAACAGTCTGAACAGTTTGGACTATATTGGAACATCTGGTAAGGAATTTGGTTAAACCAGTTAAAATTGTACCTTTTACATTCCAGATTCTTTTAATGTTTGCGTGTGTTCAAATGGAAAAAAAAAAGTGTTCCAATAAAACATGAAAAAAAATTACCATCAAACCTCCAATCAATACGTTAAGGGCTGTAGCTTCAGATGCCAGTATTTATCCATGTTCTCATCACCACACTGCTTCCGCACGCCACTTCGCGACGTAGGATCGCGGTACCACACCCCACACTCACTCACACTGTGCGGCACCAAGAAATGATCAAAGCCAGTCCTGCCATCTAGTGGTGATTTATCATTAGGAAATCATTCCCACAGCCTCGATACTGACTGAGGAGGAGTGCAAAACCCTTTATTATTATTTAAAAAAAAAACAAAACACCCAAGACATATTTCTACATTTTGGCACGAAGTGGTAGGGTTTTTGCAAACATATTTTTGTTTTGGCATTGAATGAGTTAAGAGGGATTTCCCACGCTGGTGTCACATTTATACAATACAATACAATACAATACATCCTGATTTAAATAGCATTTTCACAACAGCTGCAGCTGTAACAAAGTGCTTAACAAAACAGTTAACATTTACTAAGATAATAAACAACACTTAACATAAAGACAAGGACAGTCGTGCAATCTTTTCCCTCATACACTTTGCTGTTTGAAGCAGTAATAGATCAAAGAGGAAAGAATCAAAGTGTCCTTTCATCAGTGGCTCAGAGACAGAGACGTCATGCTCAAAATGTGGACACATCGGA